ATAATACATAAAACATAGCAGTGAGCGCATGTAGACGAAAGCGCGGAGCACCAGTTGGTTGAATAGCAGATTTCATTAGGTCTGTAACAGCCTGAGAAAAAAAGAAAATAATTGGTCAAGTAAAAGCCTGTAGCTTAAAGGACGGGAAATGGTATTCACCGAGAAATAGTAAAATAAGAGATAAGGGATTGGTCAATGTGTCATGCATATGAATACATGTTAGGATGCAAACTGCGTTTCATCTCTTAGCTGTAAACGAAGACCAACGGAAAAGCAAGCAGTATTTAAATGAAGGGACAGAGTAGGAAAAGTGAGAAATGATACGGATCAGTGTGAAGGGGATATTTGAATGACCATTTGAAAGACAGATGTGTTTCTTTCGTTTATATTGGTGAGTACTTTATGTTCAGAGTGGTGCGCATGGATTTCCACTGAAAGTGAGTGAAGGACTAGTACTATATTACCATCCAACTACCAACCACCTCGTTATGCCTACTTGAAACTGCTGAGAGCACTCGATGGATGACCACTGAAAGAAACCCATGTCATCCGTATTTTAGTGCACCAGTTGCACCCGCCCCGGTGGACTTATTTCTCCGCGCAGTGAATAAGGATATTCGTGATCCAGCAACCTGCGGTAAACCGGAAAAACACCTCACAAAACTAGCTACCATGTTTTATTGAAAAGCTCCGGTCTTCGGGCCTAACATATTCGATTCTCCATGTTTTTTTCTTGCCTGGCAATTGCCCAAGTGTTAAATAAAAATCGTAGTTGTCCTGTAATAACTTTCACTCAATACTGCTAACATGCTACTGCTTCAGCCAAAAACAACTGCTTTTTTCAGTCCCATTTGTCCGCGGACGCTGAGGCAAAAATAACGTAATATCTTTATTCACAGAACGATAACAGTGCAGAAAACTAGAAGAAAAACAAGCAAAAATCATGTAACGAAGAAGGTGGCAGTTAAAATAATAAATGTTTCGAGTGGAAGCGGTGCAACGCTGAGAATAAACTGCATTATCAGCCGGTGTGGATAACTGAATCGACAACAAATGCAGGTGGAAAAAATTCGACAGAAAAAATTTTCATATATAGAAGCAAAAGTCAATGATACTGATAAAAGACAGCAAGGAGGTAATATTCCTAAAATTCTGACGAGACAGAGGAAACAATCCCAAGACTGAAAGCATGAATTATAACTGTTCATTGGTGTCTGAGGAAAAAAAGGATTGAGTAACACGCGCCAAATGTTGACATAAAAGGTTGAGTGCGAAATTCCAATGTTTTGAGGTCTGAGTTCGAAGCAAAGAAAAAATTTGAAGGTGCTATAGTGCAGTAAACTCTGAAGTGCATATTTCCCGCACTCGAGCTCAGGCCTCAAAATTGATAAGCATCTAAGAATTCGAAAAATGAAAGCCAGACTGTAACTTGAGAAAAATTCTAGGGAATATGTAACAAATCCGAGAGCTATGATGGTATTAAGACAACACAAATTACTATTTTACTTCGAAATAAGCATTCAGACGAAAGGAAAAAAAAACAGTGTTGTGCAGAAAAAAAAAAAAAAAA